ACAAAACAGATCAGTGCAAACAGGAAATAATAAGACCTTTAATGGAAAAATCACATACCCCTTTCCCACTGGCAGAAACACCTGTTTAAACCCAGGAACAATCGGCTTTTAGTGGCAGTGAACCGCAAAAAGCGATCTAGAAATAAGTAAATTTTTTACCCTTAATTTGAGTAGGTAAATAAAAGGACTTGCCAATGCAATGAGTATATTTAGTCTTAAAATAAGACAATTAGATAAAAATGCACTTGAAATAGCACTATACAATTATATTTTCTTATTTTAAATGTAAATGGTCTTGTTCCATTGGCAAAGTATCTAACTTACCTCCTCGTTTCAAGAAAAAATGTACCGGTACTTATTTTAAGAAAAATTGAAGATCTCTATCTTTTCCAATGACTTGTGCCGACCCGGATCAAATAACTCAGCACACTGCAAAAACGATCTACAAATAAGTAAAAACTCCTTAAATTAAGTGTATTTACTCTTAATTTGAGCAGGTAAATAATATTATTTGGGATGAGTATATTCAATCTTAAGATAAGATAATTAGATAATATGAACATAAAAAATAATAATTTTTTACTTATTTTAAATGTACATTTTCTTGTTCCATTGGCAAAGTGTCTCACTTGCCTCCTCAATTCAAGAAAAAAATACTCAGATTTTAAGAGAAAATTACTCACTGAGATTTAAAAAAAAACATTTTTTTATGGGAACACCAGACCCGCTAAGTTAGATGACACCATTTAGCGCAACATATTGTCATCAACACACTTCGCCAGTCACCTCTGATCTAACAAGTCCAATCAACCCTGTTGACATTCGATAAATATGGAGCAGCACTATTGAGAGGGATTCGCACAGATAAAAAAGCGAAACAATAAAGCACACCGACTACGCCCAGGCTTCCTTACATTTCGGTCTCCATTGTTTACTTTCCTGATTTCTGTCGAACTGGTGACAGCATCAACGCTAACCCTGCATAATAATGTCACCAGACATGCAGCTCCCAGGGAACAGTGGCCATGCTGCTTGCCAACGAAGGGTTGGACCAAGCCTTTTTTGCCAGTGGGAAGGGAGCCAAATGCTGATTATTAGCGGGTCAACCCATGTTTGCAAAAAACACAGGTTAACACAGTATTTTTTATTAGGAAAGAGGCTTTAATTAAATTATAGCTGTTCATGAATACACATAGATGTTTCATAGTTTGTCCTGTGAGAGGAATCAGAGGGGCTGATGGTGCATATAATGAATACAAGCTCCCCTGCTGGAAACATGTGCAGCCAATCAGTTACAGTTGGTCCCTCATCCCTACAAAGACTCTTTGATGTGAGCAAGGCCTTTAAATTCACCCCAGGGAGTCACAAGACTAACCCTGACTTTGATCTTACTAAAGGGAAACCCAATGCTCCTCCTAACAACAAAACTGCAGAACAACAATATGTCAACTCGCCTGACGTTTAAAAACATTGCAAGCCAAACTATGCATGCTAAACAAGTGTACGTCATATGGGACTGCTTCTCTGCATCTGCTATTATTATTACTGCATATTGCTTGTCGTAGGACAAAGTACGGCATGGTTTTCATTTTATATTTGTCAAATCATGTACTGAAGGTTTTGATCACTGTCTCACTGTCCAGGCTGCCTTTGAGATAAGGGGAAGCACACATACTTAGAAAGAATAAAACCCTGACTTGTGTGCCACAAACAAGTTCTATGTTTTGTTTTTTTTTGTCATGTTGCTGATTGCATCAGTATCAAACCATATGCAGTTGGGAAACCCTCTTTGCTCAAAGCATTTTTTACCTCGTCTCTTCTAATTTCTTCTCATTCCTATAATCCCTGCATTGCAAATTATATATAAAGCACAGAAAAAGGACCTTCCCTAGGGCAGCTGTCATATAAAAAAACACAACTAGTGAGATTACACTAAAAAAATTTTTAACTCTCTGCATAATCTCAAAAATTCATCTCTGCTTTTTCCTTCCCTATCATCAACAGTTCATCTATTTATGTTTTATTTCTGCCCGCCGACCCCCCATCAACTTCCTCATCCTGTTATGCTGTTGCTGGCAGCCAACCAAAATGTCCTCTGGCTTTTCCCTCCCTCTCAGTCTCATCTCCCCTGCTCTCTCCCAGTTTACAGTCGGACAACAAAATGTCTGCTGGGCTCAGACCCACGTCGAGACCCTCCCCTCTAATGCCGCCTATCTCCGACAACTTCCTCTGCGGAGCCAGAAAGTGGTTACATAAGAACGGAGGTCAAAGTGTCAGTGCCTTTGTGAAGGCAGCGGCAGGACGACAAGGAAAAGGGGAGCAAGGGTGAAAGATAAAGAAAATGGCTCAGATGAACAAGTGAAAGAAGAACTGTGGAAAAGATTTTAACTTATACACATAAATGAAAACACTATGATATTTGAATATATCCAAATTGTCAAACAGAGACAGGGTAGCTTATAAATAAAACAGATAACATGTGCACTAGAGGGAAGTAAAAGGGGACAAAGGTATGCAGATATACAACAGTGGGTGTATACCAGTGTTGGGACGTGTGTTTATGCTCATGTGTATCACTCTCTGACGGTGCTGTTGGCGTTCTGCACTCTGCTGCTCCACTAACCTAGTTTGGGTAATCTTTGCCTTCATACTCTTTCATAACAGCACAGCCAGATCATTGCATCATAAAGCTGCTTGCTACTGCAACATCGTCCTCCTAGTTCCCAGAAAACATAATCACTCCAAGGGCAGAGATATAAGTGATTCCAAAATTACTTTTGTTTGTTTTGGAGCAATCTAAAACTGATGAGCAGGAGTTTTTGTCTGCCCCAACTTTATTAATAAAATAAAGAAGCACATCAGCAGCACAAATGACCAAAGACAAAAAATATGCAAGGATAGTTTGGCAAGTGATAAATTCTAATGGTTTTAATGAATGGTGTGCAGATGTTTAGAGTAGTGCTCTTACATGTTCTGTCTAGAATAACATAACCCCTGCAAGTCCAAATTACACGTAAAGATAACACTTGTCCTTAAGGTAATTAATCACAAGGTAGTGAACACACAATGAGAAGAAGGCCAGATATCATATTCAACCAAATATGTCAAATTCAAATTGGCCCTGTGGGTAAAAAACAAATTATCTGGGCACATAAATACAAAACAGATCCACAAAATAATTTTCTCGTTGTTGTAATGAAATCTAAAGGAACTTTTCCATCTGTTTACCTTCTTGATCTGATAGTATAGATTAAAGATTTCTGGAGTTGCAGAAGTGTACAGCTCATTTTTATCAATTAGTCAACAAAAACAACATTTAGTCATGCAATCCAAGTTCCAATTATAGAAAGAGTGGCAATAATATAAAAAATAGATTTAAAGGGATATGTTAGCTATTAATTCAGTAGTTGTGCAAAAGAGAAAAAGCTTAGGGTATATGAACTTGGCCAACATTTAAAATGGCAGAACATTTAAACAGCTTTATTATGCTTCATTATGCTGTCAGCATGTTTGGCTTCAGCTCTAATGCTGGGTTTAAATGAACGGAATACAATGGAGTTAAATATAGGACCCTTCTACAAGAAAACTGAGTCTGCAAATTATTTGAGATGTGGTGTAACAGGAAATTCTGCTGTATGCAACCCTACAAATTGTTTCATCAGATTCTGCAGGGCCCTGGTAATGGGCAGTTCATTGGATACTAAATTCTTGTGTCTCAGACATCTGAGAAGTCTGGTTCTCATGATGTTCTGTCCACTTAAGATTAAAGCATATGTATGTGTTAGAATGGCTCAGTGAAAGTTCAGACCTAAATCCAATTGAGAATATCTGGGAAAACAATAAATTGGATGTCCTAATAGTAGGTCAAAATAAATTAAGTTAAATCAAATTAGCTTGAAACATGTTTCTAGGAAGAATGGACAAAATTCTCAGTCCTTACAGACATAATAGCTGCAGGCATACTTCAGAAGGGGATTGTACAAAGTGTTGACATTTGGGAAATGGGTTTGCAGGTTTTAATTTGTAAAATAATAATGAGAAGGAAGAATTGTAAAAAGTCAATTCCCGGCCCGGGCTCTTTCTGCATGGAGTTTGCATGTTCTCCCTGAGCATGTGTGGGTTCTCTCCGGGTACTCCGGCTTCTTCCCACAGTCCAAAAACATGACTCTTAGGTTAACTGGCTTCTCTAAAAGTCACCTTATGTGAGTGTGTGCATGAATGGTTGTTTGTCCTGTTTGTCTCTGTGTTGCCCTGCGATGGACTGGCGACCTGTCCAGGGTGTACCCAGCCTCTTGCCCACTGACAGCTGGAGATAGGCACCAGCACCCCTCGGGACCCCACTTGGGATAAGCGTGTAAGAAAATGGATGGATGTATGAATTGTAAAAAGAAGAAAGTTAATTTTAAGATATGTTCTGATATTTGGATTAGTTAACTTTTCACTTAACATCAAAAAACAGCCCATTGTCTGTGAATGGCGCTGCACATAAACCAGACTAATCATCAAGACAGCAGAGGTGTGGTGGGTTCTACTCAGCTTATCTCTTCATAGATAACACTTTCCCAGTTCAAGGTTCCATGATAAACCCTTTCTTTGTTCATTCAAAAGCAACAATATATCTCTGAGATGAGAAGAAACAGCAGCAGGTTGTTTGCAGAGACAGGTATCATTAAGTCAATTCAACAGGACCAGTCTGGTAGCTTTTGCTACCAGATTGTTTTGTTTTCGTTTTCTTTCTTTTTTTCTTTTGTAACACTGACATCACGCCTTAAGAAAAGTATGATATTACCAAACTTCTGATGCACAAATAAAACTGTTTTGGGAAACATAATGCCATTGAAAGTATTGTCACATTATTTTCCTGAAAGAAAAAGGAAAGAGGTGCAGACTTTATTAATCATTTGCCAGGCCACCTTAAAACGCGCTGCCGAGTGCGCGTCCCCGCGCCTGTTGCGGGAGGAGCTGTCGGCGGTGAGATCATGTGAGAGTCCACGCTTGGAGAAAGTAGGTTAGCAGGGTAGACTGAGAGGAAAGCAGGCGGATAGAGAGGGAGGGGGGATCCAAACATCGCTCCTTCATCGTTAGGATCCGATCTGTCAAAAAAAAAAAAAAAGTTGAAGCGAAGCTGCTCCTCGGTGCGCACAGACGGCTACAATGAGATCAGAAGCGATTTTCTTCACTCTTTTATTTTGCTCGAACTTGATCGAGCGATAATTGAAAGGAGTTTTCCCATTTTCTATCTTTGTGTGTTTTTCCTCAGCGCATTTGGGACTAAGTTAATATTTATAGAGCCAGTTCAGCCAGGCTCCAGCGCTTTTATTCACACTGTTTTCCATCACTGAATTCATGAAGCCGAGTCTTCAACGCCCTGTTCAGAATTAAAGAAAACATCAACATGAGAGGTAAGATGTTTTTTTTTTATTGGTAATAGTGTGTGAAAGCATATCAGTGCTTGTGTAGCTGTATTGGATCATAGTGATGTCGGTTTCGGGTTGAATTTGCTGCCACATGTGTGCGCACAGGGATTCTACAGAGCTCTCCTCCCAGTGCGCACTAATCCCTCTTGGCTGGATTATGGCCGCGCAGAACTGGAGGCGGCGCTCTGTTAAGACACCAAAATTCACATCAAGTGTGATGATCAGGACCTGGATGTCTGGGGCTTAATTAGAAAAAAAGTAAATAAATGCTGATACATGAAAAAGCATAGGCCTATTATCTCTCTGAGGGATTCACAACAAGGAAGCTGTGCGCTTCTAGTGCGTAATGGTGGATTCTCTTATCCATGGAGGTGCCCTGCTTTCCAGTGATCCTTGATAAAAGGCATAACATTTATCACCTGAGACTTTTATGGATTTTTTCGGGAGATCCGTGTCACAAGTTATGCAATGAGGTGAGGGGAGGGGCTGGGGGAGACTATGTTGTGAACCAAAACTACAATTATGTAATCGACGATATAAGGTTTCTTATATTTTAAATCAAATCTCCTTTCCTGCCTTTAAAATTTGCATTTACTCATGCAGAGTATCAATATACACATAAGGAAGGGGCCTTACTGTCAGACTATATAATCTTTTACTTTTATGAAGCTGAATTATATAATTGTAGTTTGAATAACATGATAAGCATATTTGCAAAGTGTGTTTTTTTCACAGTGGATAATTACAACACAATTTGTGGTGTTGTTGTGGTGTGATAGCTGTGCCAGCATGGCCGACTGTGTGAGTTACGGGGGGAGATAGAAACCCGGCTGTTCCACTGACCTAGTTATGTCACACAGTATTATACAGCGCTTACAGCGGAGGGAGGGGAGGAGGCCTCCGAGAAGCTTCGTGACGGCAAAACGCACAGCGCTATGAGCGACTGCGCGATTTAATCCCAGAAAAGAGCCGCACTGCATTTTACGGAAGAGGATTAGGGCCACTGAAAAAAATGAAAAAGTTTACAGATTTTTACATTTTATTTCAGTATAATATGAGAAAAAAAGCCAGAATTCTGAGTTTAATCTCAGATTTCTGACTTTAATCTCAGATTTCTGACTTTGATCTCAGATCTGTGACTTTTTTCTCATAATTCTGACTTAAATCTCAGAATTCTAAATGAATTCTGAAAGCTGACAAACATCTTAGCATCAAGCTGTAGCCATGTCTGTTTTAGAGACTAAACCAGCTCTCTTGTTTTATTCACCTTCTGCTCTTCCATTAATGAAATAGCATCACCAGGGACCCCTTGGGCACGTAAAAATTCACCTAATTCCGTCATTTTCCACCACTGTGTCACTGGCCTTCTCAAATAACTCACATATTTGTCAGTGAAGCTGAGTTCTTCCACTTCTGTTCCTTCATGGTGCCCATCTATATTAAAATCATGAGATTAAAGTCAGAATTCTGAGATTAAAGTCAGAATTCTGAGAAAAAGTCAGAATTCTGAGAAAAAGTCAGAATACTGAGAAAAAAAGTCAGAATTCTGATATTAAAGTCAGAATTCCCACTTTTTTTTTTTTTACCATATTAAACTGAAATAATATTTAAAAATCTGTTAACTTTTTTTTTTCCAGTAGCCCTAATTCTCTTCCGTAGCATTTTGGGGCAGTGAATTACAATTAGATAAAACATCACTTGCGTCAGCTGTGTAGTTGCTGCCAGAGGCGGTCCAAGGCTGTATGGGGCGTCAGTGTAAAAAGCCCTAAAAAGACATATGGTAAGATTGTGATTGTAAATCAAAATAAGAGGAAACTGATTTATTGAAAATAAAATAGAACTTCAGTGACCCAATTTACCCCTGATTCACTGATCTAAATGAGTGTCTACTAAAGTTGGTATCGTTTTTTTCAATGGGGTTTTGAAATGATTTGAAATGTTTTTATTCAAGTTTTTTTTTTTTTTTTTTACAGTGTCCTTTCTGGCAATGTGGCAATAAGAATAATTGTCTTGACCAAAAAGGGCCCAACAGAATTTGCTTTCACAAGTGGAGCAGTAGGGCTATCGCCATACTGTTCCGCTTGATTTATACATATAAATGGCTTTATTATAATTATTCAGGGAGTATTACAGATTATGTGGACACTGCAATGTAAGTAGAATAGGAAAGGAAAAACAGGAAAAAGGAGAAAAGATTAAAGAAAGAGGAGATAAAAGGGAGACAACAATAAAACGTCTTCAGTCTGCTTCCTCACCTGCAAAGAGATATTTAAAAACCACAGATATATTTTTGGTTATACAGTGAATACCAAAAATTTTAACAAGCATATTTTTACTTTATGAATCAGATGAGATTGAAAACTTTTAGATTAAAATATATTTATTGCTGTTATATCACTTTGTCAAGTTAATTAACCAGCTACACCTTTATACTGAGCTGACTAGTCTGGTTATTTTGTTGGTCAATAGTCAAAATGTAAGGGAGTCATCAATATGCATTATAGGCTTCTTCAAAACAACATTATATATATTGTATCACATTGTTATTTTGGAGTCAAATAACACCCGTAAACCTTGCCTTAACTACCAGAATAGTGTTGAAAATAAATACATATATTTTATATATAAATGGCTTCAAAATACAATCTTGTGTTAAACTTTTATGTATGTCTTTATTCCTGTATGGTGTTTTTTTTTAACCAGCTGGACCTTCTTTTAATCTTTCCAAAGGGATTTGTATGAGCTTTGTTGTTAGAGCTGGATTTCATAGCCAAATGTGCATTGATGTAAATTGGTACTTTTTTGTAAAACTCTACATGCAGCACCTGCCATAGCCCGCCTTTAAATAAAACCACTTCCATATCCTAGCCAGTTTTAGCCGACTGCTTTGCAACATTATGGCATTTTCTACTTTTTTTTTTTGGAAAGCTTTCTTAAAAAGACTATGCTATCTCTAACAGTCAGGAAATTGATTTTCTGCTCAAGAAAACAGAAGTGGGGGGGGTTAAACACAGAGAAACATTCGGGCCTCTGATGGAGGGCGGGTCCCTCTCTGGCAGGATATCCAAATGTAAACAAACTATAGTCCTTTCTTAGCTGGCCGGGCCAAAAAAATTTAGGGTTTTTTTTTCATCACGCAACCTTTTGTTTGCACTCTGTTAATACACGTCAGCATTTTCTACACTGGTCTGAGCACATATCTGGCAATGGGATCAAATTCTATAGACTTATCTTTGTGCTTTTGACATGCCGACATACTGTAAAGGCAATGATGTCTGGTATGACGCTTACTCTGCTCTGCCGTAGCAGGTAGCTAAATATCTATAGTCTTCCACAAGATGTTTAACAGCCCAGTAAAACATCCTAGGGCTGGTGTCACAGACAGCCAGACACCCTGCATGAGAGGCCAGTAAAGAGCTCCTCTCTGTTCCAGTCCCCCCTCTGTGGGCCCCAGCTTAGCCTCCACTGGTATTTGCATCTTTTAAAATAGAGAGAGTCCACAGAACACACCAACAATGAATGACCAACCTTTACACATTCTGCACATTAAGCATCCTTTAGATTGAGATCCTTTTTCTATACTTTTGAATAGAAAATGTTAGAGATGTAAGAATATTACCAGCAAGGATGTAAAAATAAATGCATACATAGCCACACATTTTAGAAATATGGAGCTTCAAATCTATGACATAACTTTAATGGAGCAACTAGTATTTCTAATCCTATTGTTACTTGCAATATTTGTGTTGTGCATTGTGAAATGAATACTATTTAAGTTTGCCTCAACAGGTTGTGGTGATTATAAAACTTAGGTGTGAACTTTGTATAGCTGCAGGTTGTCAAGTCATGTTGCTAGGTGTATGGCTTTATTAGAAATCACCATTCTCTTGACACACTGACACACTAAGTGCCACACCTGCCATGGGGCATGTTGGATGTTTATGACCTGCTCGTTGCTCGTTGGATAAGGAGAAGCAAGTTGTTGGAAGCTCAAAGTCAGTGATTTTCCTTCTTCCTACAGCCTGCCCCACCCTCTGCTGAATTACTTCTTTGTAGAGATAACAACATTGCACATTTAGCTGGCTGATAAATGCTCAGAGGCCAACGTGTTTGTCCTGTCGGTTAAAGTTGCTCTGTTTGCTTTGCATAAAGGTTTGCAGCCATGATGGCTCAAAACACTTTTTTTACCCATTAAGATCTGTACTTGCTCTTATTTTTCCATGATCAGTTTAAGAAGATGTCTTTTTATATTTTGTGACAAATCTAAACCCCTTCGGACCTGATGCATTGTGTTTTTAGAAACAAACAGCCGAGCTGGTATTGATCTCTCTGGAATGCTTAGTGTCCCAAGAGGGCGAAAGGTTAAAAACACCCCATGCAGGTCAACAGGGATACTCGGGGTTAAAGTTAATTACTTCCCTTGTTTTTTTTCTCAGCCATTATTGACAGCCCTCATTATGTATTACTCATCCTACTTTGAGATTATTTAGCAAATTGATAAAACAATTCATATTCTAACGTATGTATTTAGGTAAATATAAAAAAAAAAAACGGTCCAAATGGTTGTCCTTTTTCCCAACCTCTTTGTAAAATATTTACTTGTTTAAAGGTTTAATAGCATTGATCTACCTTTTCTGAGTTATAGTAAAGTAAGTCACATTAAACATACGTCAGAGATCCATTTATCAATAGAAAAACTAACTGAAGTCTGACAGGAGAGTGTTGACTCAGTGTTTTACCATCAGATTAGCTAAGTGTGAACAAAGATGGTTCAGTCTTACAGTCCTAGCTGGACATTAATAAGGTCTTACCATGGTTTTCATCTGAACGGATGTCTTGAAATCCCTTTATTGGTTAAGGATATCAAAAAACAACCAAAAAACAAAACAAAAAGCTCAAAACAATCTGAGGTATTTTGGTGTGTACGATATAAACACAACTGATTTAAAAAATATATTTTTTATGACAATTTTTAAAAGATTAAA